TTGCGAGGCGAAAAACCAACAAGCGCTAAAGTACCTTCTACAAAGCAATGAAGAAGTTAAGTTAAAAATAAGACACAAAGATGACAAAACATCCTATGTTCAATCGATAGATAGCGTGAAAAATCATAATAACATCAAAATAATTTTTACTATTTTTTTTTATTCTGTTAGTGGTCGAACACATACACTTATGCTGCCATGAGGCCTTCTCATATGAGTTACGAATGAGTATAATAAAATACAGCCCAATATTTACCCAGTTTTGTGTGTTTTCTACATAGTTAAATAAAACGAAAAAAGAGGCAAAGCACTTAAATATGTCTGTAGAAAAAGAACGCTGAATGTTTGTCGATGTATTTAATTTATGCACCGTTATATACAGCAGTTTCTTTTATTCTGTAAACAACATTGTTTTAGCGTTTTTCGATCAGAGATAAGTTCGAATATTCTCAACATTACATAGAAACTTTCCTTTTGAGAACTATTTAACGAGTCTACTAGTTTTTGAATATCCGAAGTATCTTGTTTTGGTAGGATGTGGATGTTGGTATGACTGTGAAATGCTGATGTCCATATGGATATTTTTTATCAAAGCACAGCCACACCCTATAATGAGTCAAGATCGAAATATGTATATTTCACCTTATCCACCATACGAAGGTTACCAATCTTATCTGACTCAACAATCTTAGAAGTGGTAGCTATGGTCAACATGAAATGTCATGTCAACATCTTCCTGTGTTGCCATGCCCATGATTTGTCAAAGATTCGTTTTATTTTTATAATTACAATTCTTTTATACAATTATTAATAGATTCCGAAAATACAGATGTATTTTTAGTTTGCAAGATTTTAAAAACCGATATTATTTTTTGATGAAATAACATTTTCTAATTATGTTGCTTTTTATTTTTATCTCGATTTCGAGAAATAAAAATAAAATCGCTGCTGCACTTTCTACATAGTATTGATTTATTTTCATGATTTATGTAGTTATCTTACAGACATATAAGAAAAAAAACGCAGGCTTCATGTCGAGTGGCGATAACACTAACGAACGACTTAAACTTAGTTCTTCATATCAAGGTAGTAATTTTGTTTTTATAAATAAAATGATATACATTTGAAATTTTTGCTTCTAATTGCCACAATACATTGAAGTAAATACTAAGATTTTTTTATCAAATCTTATTTTATAATATAAAGTTGACTACGACTATCTAGAAACTCTTTTTATTTAATCGAACTTTAGGTTTATTTATTGCATATTCTACAAAGTTACATTTTGCTCTTAATATAAGGTCAAGCAATTCTTGTTCACTGTTTTATGTCAATTGCATTTATCTTAAATCAAACAAAAGAAGGTTGAAGATCACCATTGAATATTCAATGAAAAACAAACTGTTTTTATATTGCCTTCTGGAATTTCTGAATATGAAAAACTATTTTATCTGTGCTACTTATGTTTTGTCTTTCTTGCTACTATGTTTAGTTTTCTGTTTAAACTATCTTACTAACCACTAATTACACTTGATGTATCTTAATTAAAACTTTAACTTAATGGTAGCGCGTCAAATAATCAATCATTAAGTTTTTATATATCGACTTTATAGGTGGCATTTTGTCAAAACGTGGCGTTGTAAAACTCTTCTACTATTTATCCTTTTCATATATTCTTGAAAGAAACAAAGAACAAACAAGAAATGAAAAGGAAATGTACATACGAGAAAGACAGACATGTAATTCACAGATTATTATCGATCACAATTATAAGATTGTCGGAAATTTCCCATTAATTGACACAGTTTCTTTCTTTTTGCTTTTCGTTAAAACTGATTTACTTTCAAAACTATATGCTTTAAAGGAGCCCGTCATGTTGACCGAGTCCGGCATAGACCAAAACAAGTTATACTCTTCAAATAACAGTACATTATGATTCATTATTATAAGATCATCGTCAAGATTGTTTGAAAAATGTACATATTATGTTACTAGCAAAATACAAATAGTCGTTAAAAAGTATCTCGCATCCTCGAAGTAACTTGAAGACTCATACTAAACATTTTCTTGAAATTAAGAGCACGTCTAAATATTTTGTAGCAACAGGCGTTATTCCTCAATATATGTGCACAAAAATTGCAAACCCACAAAGAAGTCGATATATAAACAAGATCAGTTTATAATTGTATTTAATAGCTTAAACTAATCTAAATGAAACGGAGCTAAGATTAAAATCTGGAAAAAAGATTTGTTATCTTATGTTTAATGAAAGAAGCAATGAGATGAAAATAAAAATCTTATCTAAATGCTTTGCTAATTGATATGATTAATTCCTTTGGTTTTATTATGATTGAAACTTTTTTTTTCTATAAAGATAGTGAACAAGGTGAAGACCAATGGAGAGATTTTACTGGTCTTGAAAGCAAAGAAATTCGTCGTGGATTTATTCGAAAGGTTTGTGCTAATCGAAATCTACAAAAAAGGCTGATTTTAATGATTTTATATAAAATAGGTTTATTCAATTCTTATGATTCAATTAGTGATTACATTTGGTCTTATCGCAATATTTCATTTTATGTATGTTTTTTTTTTTCTGATAAAAAAATATCGAAGGTCAACCGATGATATACAACATAGACTATCGATTCATGATTACGTGCGAAGTTCGAATGGTCCATGGCTTTATTGGATATCATATATTGTTTTTTTGGTTATTTATTGTGTATTGATTTGTTCACAACGTGCCGCACGAAGGTTTCCACTTAATCTTATTTTACTCGACATTTTGGTAAAAATAGAAAATTAAATTAATTGAAAACTAAAATTTTGCATTTTACACATTATCAATGAGTTATATGGTATGATTCGATTTAAAAATTATTTACTTATTAATTTTTTTTTGTTTTTGTAAAAACTTTAGATGGGTATGATTTCAGCATATTACAAAATTGAATCAGTATTAATCGCTGTTGGTATAACAGTATTCGTTTGTTTGGGTATTACATTATTTTCCTTTCAAACAAAATATGATTTTACATCATGTTTTGGAGTTTTACTTGTGATTTCATTGATATTTTTAGCTTTTGGAATCGTTTGCATTTTTACTTATTCAAGAGTAAGTATTTTAACAAAATAAAAAGTTTATGTTACGTTTTATCCTAAAAATATTTACTTTTTTTCAAATATTGTACACAATTTATGCTGGCCTGGGAGCTCTGGTTTTTTCAATCGTAAGTTTTAATAATTAAGAAGTTTTAAAAAAGTTATTTTCTATTATTAGTTCTTGGCTGTTGATACACGATTACTTATCGGTGGAAAACAACATGAAATAAGTGCTGAAGATCATGTTTTTGCATCATTGATGCTTTATATTGATGTTCTTTATATATTTATATATATTCTTAGTTTGTTGGGCAATTGGAAATAAAATTACTTTTTTTAATAAAATGTTAACACGTATTGTATAACAATTATCGTGCATAGTTCACTTTCATTTCTTCGTTGCCTATATCCTCTTTATTATTTGCTTCTATTCATCTATTGAAACTTCAACTCTAGGCTTTATAAGATTTCATGTATCAATGGCTCTATATTTGTGTTTAATTATATTTGGAAAGAAAAATAAATTTGTATTTGTGTGCTGATGTCACGTCATTATAAATTAGACAACAAAGATAAAGAAAAAACACTTTAATTCAAGTTCAATGAAAGTGTGACGCAATTGAATCGCTCCCTCTTCTCTTTTACCAATTGTGCTTAGTTCTTGCAGTTGTTTCTTTTTCAATAATGAATATATGACGCCAAAGTACACACTTAAGAGACACTTTTCTAGATCATGTCAAGAATCATGTCATACAAAAACACTATCATCTATCTTTTTGATTATCGCACATGAAAGGGCTTGTAAAAAAGCCTATAAAGTCAAAACTCTAGAATTCTCTGATTGATATTTGAATATATACGAAAGAAATATTCCTTTTTAAATATGAGGCAATCATCTACATCCACACCCTATACCCACCATCTGTGGGTGGTATGTAGCTTCTTTATTAAAACTCAAATGTTTAAAGCAGAAACGAATTAGATGAATAGAACCCAAAAGAGATTGATTGTGTTGTCCGAAAAATTAAGTCTCTACTTTGTATCTTCAAAATATATATGAAAAAGAAAAAAAATAATGACATATGAAAGTTGTTATCGGTTTAGGTCTCATTCATCATGCTAGTTTTCTTCTTTGTTCGTAATTTAAATTCTCAAGGCTGTATGAGAAGAAATACGGGATCGAAACCAGATAAGAGTTTGCAACATGATATAAACAGCCACTATCAACTCTTCTTTTTAAATAATTATCAAGAAGGTAAAAGATGAATTGAAGCTTTTTATATAATAATATTCTTCGTAGGAACCTGATATCCATTAAATCAATCGTTACATCTTACATATTCAAGAGGAAAAAAAACACAAGAGTAACCACCTAATGAGACATAATATTTGGAAAAAAGTGAGCGATTAGGTAACGCCTATTCACAAACTTTTAAAAGACGATTGAGGAAGGAGTCAAAAATAAGTCATTTTACTCATTAGGAGTTTACTTTCAAGGATTTGTTTGTATAAGAGGAGATGAACGTGCGTGAAGAGATGAAATATGGGTGTGGGTATCATTCTGTTCTTCAAAAACAAATTTAGACACAAACGGAGACCCAGACTCACACCCCACACCCTAAATATTCTCGACTGCATGAATATGATGCATTGCGTGTCTCCACATATTTAAAATGTTTCTGCTGACTATGCATTGCAAAGTGCTCTCCAGTTTTCAGTGCATCCCTCGCATGGTTTATAAGATTTTGCTTCAATAGCATACAGAAAATACGACTGTAACTACGTAATTGAATTGTTTCATGAAGAGTGACTTAATATTGACTTTAGCCACTGTTTGTGGATGATAGCTCTCATATAATCACACACACACATGCACACAGATTTGATAGAAATATCAATTGCATTTCTTCTTCTTCTTTTTGATCTTACTATAGTCTGTCTCAACCACTAATTCGTTTTCAAGGATTTTTGCGTTATTCTTCTATTTTTCGGTTTCATCTTGGCCAGTTTGACGAAAATATCTGTCCCATTCAATTTCTGATGATGCATAAGTTAAACGCTGTCTTCATCGTTCTCGCGATGACCACAATCTATTCGCTCACCCCTGTCGCAGCCGATGTCACTTGTCTTGAATGTCTCAGCATTCGGTTGAATTTGACAGCTGACACGAAGATTAACACCAGCAGTTGTACGAACATCGAAGCCAAGTTCTGTCTATCAAGTCTACGCCTGGATTATGGGTATGAAAGTGAGAGCTTTGCACAGTTTCTCGGGTCTCCTACAGAGGTGCTCCTTAGAGGTCTGCGGGACAGTCCCGAATCCCGAAAAATCCCGAATGTCCCGTCCCGCGGGACAATCGGGATTGTCCCGAAAATTTTTCGGGACGGGACATTCGGGACCGGGACAATTCAAAAAATTTCGGGGCGGGACATTCGGGATTCGGGACTTTTAAGAAAAACCGGTTGTCCCGAAATTCCAAAATTCAAATATAAGAATATCTCGTAAATTTGAGACTTATTATTTCTAACAAATATTTTGATATTTAAATGAATAATATAACAGAAAAGCC